TAATAATTAGTTTAATACAAAAGCTCAAAAATTAAACGAAGTAAAATTCAGTAACAGTAGCTAACAATTAAATGTGGGTTTAGCTACATGCATATAGATAAAAATAAAAGAAACAGAAAATTAAAAAGAATACCCAAAGGCTTGTGTGTACACAATTGCTTATTGTTACAAATACAATTAAATGTAATAAGTTTATAGCAATTTAAAAATGTGAAATTGTGTTGCAATATTAAACAAGAAATCAAGTAATAAAAACTTGAAAAGTAAAATTAAGTATGAAACCGTATTAGTATTATTTGTGAATTATACATAAATAATGAATACATTTATGCGTTTTAACTAAAAATAAAAACAAAAAGTGTTTCAATGCAATATTCATAGTTCAGCATTTATTAATCGATTTTTTAAAAGTTCAAGCTTTTTATAATTTGTAAGCTTATACATAAATACTGATTTTCAAACTTATGATATTTTTTATCGTAGTCGCTGAGCAGTTTTTAAAACTAGTGAATAAAAAGTWATTTTTCTTTACAGATTTTGCCAATTTTTATTGTATTTACGAGTTATTCTTTTGTATAAAAAAGAAATGAGCGAATAAATTCAGSACTCTGTCCTTATGCACTAATATTGTTATATACATATTTTTCTTTGGTGCAAAAATATATCGAAGTTTTGCTATAATTTCATTCAAACTTTTTAGTTGTTGTTGYTGGTATTTTAACGGTTATCTAATCCCCGTTTGAGTGGTAAGGGTCATTTGCGTTGTCGTTTTAGTCTGCTTAAGCATTTATTTTTTATTCACTTTGCTTAGTGTATAGGTTGCATTGTCTAGCGGTGAAAGCGTTAGTTTTAGCTCCATGCTCTGCGCCAGCTCATCTACAGTTTTTATTTCGCTTTTAGTTAAGCCAGGTGGTAAATTAAAATTATTCAAATCCATGTTGTTCTTGAAACTTTTCATTAGTTCTGCCATTTCTTGTTCGAAGATGCTGGGCATCTCGGCGCTACCAGCATCACTTTGTTTGCCAACTTCATTCTTCTTTATWATACCCATTGCCTTCGTCCAAATGCTACGCTCGTTTTCTTTGTATTTTGCATAACGTTCTTCCAATATTTTCAGTTCCCGACTGATATCTTCGTTCTGCGGCTCCATGCGTTGGGAGCGTATAAGTATCTGTCGTGCGCGTTCATACTCACCTACAATAGCAACCAAACAACATATTTGCCAAAAAAAAAACATATATAAAAATGTAAAAAAAAAACTTACCCAGCAGTAGCAATGCACGTCCTTCTTGAAATAATGCTTTACACGAGGGTTTATTGTTAGTCAACTGTCGTATTTCTTTGCACATAATGCAAGCCTTTGTTGGTAGATTAACTTTATTATAGCAAACTGCTAAGTTTGTGTATAGTTTCAATAAAAATGCTGTTTGCTCTTTCTCCTCTTGCTCGTTCGCCAAATGACAGCTGTTCAGTAAACTTACTGCTTTCTCAAAAGCGCGAAAAGCATTTTTGTATAAGCCTTGTCCGAAGAAATCTAGACCTTTGAGATGTACTTCACGTATTTTTTCAATTACTAAGGAATATTTGCCTCTTTCTTCATCGGTTAAGTTTTTATCTGCTTCTAAATCACCAACGGCATTGAATGAAACCAATTCTATAATAAAGAGTCCATCGGCACTTGGTTTTATGCGAGGCGGACAACCAATTTCACGGAAGAGCAAATGATGTGAAATTACGAATTGTGCCTGTTCGCCACGATACATGGTGCGCACTGCTTCCTCTAATCCTTCGATTACTTCATTTCGTCCAGTATAGAATTGATACGAGGAGCCACGTAAAAATGATGAATCAAAAGGTGCCCCTTCACCTTCCCAGTAGGCATTATATCGTATACACACACGTGCATTTAACGGCACTTCACCGTTTTCTGCTAATCCCGGCCGTGTAATTTTCTTATAAATGTGTTCATTTATCTGCACCATTTGTTTACGCAGTKCATCAAAAGTTTTTGTCCACGGCGAAACCAGTGTTGAGTGATCTACAGCCGACTTTTCATCGTCTTCCTCATCAGAACCTAAATTTAATTCATCGAATATATCGTTGCTGAAGCCCTCATCAAAGTTTGTGTTAATCTCAAATGTTGTGCCAGGACCAATGAGATCGCTGCGATGAATGGACGRTTATAATATTTGAGTATTAATGCAATTTAATATGTAGTTACCTTATTGATAATGGGTCCTTTAGAAAGTTGCAGCTCCCAGGTAATGTTTCATCCTCCATTTTATSCAATACGTTTGCAATTAAAAGAAATAATTTGGGAAATCAGTTGTTTTGGTTGTATTTGCATGTAATTTAGCGGCAATTAACTGTAATTTGGCATTGACCTAAAAAGAAGAAGAAGCAAAATAAGTAGTGTTGTAAGACGATGGAAATTTTTCAACACAACTTGTTGCTTCGGTTACACTTAACAAACCTTTCAAATGTGGGGAATTACGTAATTTCATTAATAAAAACTGTAATGCWCAAATTACACTGTGGAACATTTTTRGGATTATTGTCTGGGGGGTGAGAAATTCGAGGTCAGGGTGATGGTACTAGGTCAGTATAGTAAAACCCTCAAAGGGTTTGGCGTTTTGACGTTTGACATTTTAAATTTTTTCTTTATCTTGATGTCTTTTCGCTTAGTTGTAACATTTTGGCAAAAACGTAGTTTAACATAACTCGCGAACCACTTTTCCGATTTTGATGAAGCAAATTTAGAAAAACTACAGTTTCTCTATTCTGTTTCTATACCGTTTTCCTATATGTTCAACACTTTCGAAGTTAAAAATGAATGTATGAAGGRAAAAAAGTATTTTTTTYCYWAAAAWTTWAAWTTTTTTTTTTAATTCATAAAAAAACCAGCAACACTGGTTCTGTAATGTTCACACAAAACATGCATTGTTAAGTAATWTTTCTCAAATTTTTTAAAAGTGAACAAAAGAGATCAAAATATAGAACTGTGCAAGCCAGATATAAATAGCTTTTGCTACTGCTGTGGTCAATATGTCTCAACACATAAAAAAGGGGAAATTTCAGTACTGCTTTTGTTCAAACATACGAGATGTACTTCAACCAAAATGTTATAGAACGAAAATTGGGTACCAATTATAGTGTGTAAAAGTTGCTACAACCGTCTAATGGATTGGAAAAATAGAAGACGTGAAAGTATGCCATTCGGTATCCCAATGACTTGGACTAATCCTGGCGAAGGTCACAATCCATTGAAYTKCTATGCATGTGCGAATWAAGGAGCCGCAAAAAGGATATGAAAATCGTATAATTACGTTAGTGTTGCAAGTGCCGCAACACCATTGCCTCATTCGAACCACATTCCTGTGCCAAAGCTTCTAGCCCAGATATTTCCTCTTTTACGACTGCTCCGACATATTATGCACGTGATGATCCCCCATATGAGCCATCAGTATCCAATGAGCCAATTTTAATAAATCAAAATAAGCTTGATTCAATTGTTGCCAAGTTGGAATTAACACAGCGCTGGTTTCCATTTGAAATCAAACAATTTGTTGGCACCCGGTGTGAAAGTCACAGCCACTAGTCCCGAACAACCACCATCGAAAAAGTCTAGGCAATATTTATTAAAATAAATAAAAATAAGTAAATAAAATAAAAATAAAAAATTATAAAAATGTTTACTTTATTTTTTTAGTACTTTATGGCCAGAAGTCTGGAGTAATTGGGGAAAATTTATAAAAAAAAACGGCGATAAGTGACACTTTTTTGAATAAAAACAAATAGAAATTGTAATTCTTAATTTTTCGAAATTTKTTTCATCAAAATCGGACAAGTGGTTCGCGAGTTATGTTAAACTACGTCTTTGTCAAAATGTTACAACTAAGCGAAAAAACATCAAGATAAGGAAACAATTTAAAGGTCATAAAAAAACTGACACATACGAACGCCAAACCCTTTGAGGGTTTTACTATACTGACCTAGTACCATCACCCTGACTTGGAATTTCTCACCACCCATATTAACTGTTGTATTGTGTTATCAATTTAATGTCATTCCTCAATATTTAATTTAAAAATATGTCTAATATATATTCAAAACTCCGGTGAATAAAGCGCCCTTTTTATTTTTAAGTATATTTAAACATACATTTTAAGACATTTTCAAAAAAAATTTGACCATCCGAAAAGACGCAATCCTGAACAACTACAAATAATATAATACAAACAAGTTTTTTCAAAAAACTACGTTTGAAACATGGTAAAAGGCATCCTTTACGATGGTTTGAAAGGCACATATGTATGTATGTATGTATGCACGCATGTAACTGAATAAACAACTGTTTACAAATAAGATATTTATTAAAAACTAAATTAAACCTATATTTAACATAAAAAATGCAACTTATCACTAGCAGACCTCAGATTATAACAAWTACCAAAGTCTATAATTTTGATTTTAGTGAACGCATAAGCTTCTCCAGTTTCATTGCCTTATTTAAGTCACCGGAAATTTTTAGTTTTCCTGTCATAAATGCAGTTGCAGCCTTTAGTTTTCCCGAAAACATATCATGGAAGTTATTAGCTTTCATTGTTAAAGTTGCATCAGGTGAAATCTTTGGTTCACCASTACCACATGAGCCTGTCCCATTTTTTAAATCCAAATGCCATGTGCCTTTTTCTTCTCCTTCAATATTGAATTGGAAAACAGCCTGCGTTTTTTGCACCAGTTCTGGTGAAAGCAATGTTTCAATTTTTCCAAATAATGCCGGTATTTGACCGGAAGATGCATCAACAGATTTTCTTTGCTTAATATCTTCTTTAATTGCATTGAGTTCATTCTCGGAAATATCCAAAAAGAAATCGGGCATTAATTTATCGGCATATTCTGGATTACAGGCATATTGTTTGAAATCCGTGACACCAGCTTCGGTTAAGACTTCATCGTCAATAAGAAAACGTCCTGTACACTGAGTAGGCTCACGCACCAAAACTGCATATGCGGCATCTGCCATGATATCAACTTTACGCGATACATTTAAACTATCTGGCCCAGTCAACATTTCTATGGCAGCCGTGTGTATAGCAGTTCGCGGCCACAACGCGTTTACGGCCACTTTGGCAGAACGGAATTCTTCTGCCATACCCAGCACACACATAGACATACCATATTTAGCCATTGTATAGGCCACATGTGGAGCAAACCAAATCGGATTCAAATTTAAAGGCGGAGAAATATTCAATATGTGTGCATGATTACTCTTTGTCAAATATGGTAAACATTCCTTTGATACAAGGAAAGTGCCACGTGTGTTAATATGATGCATAAGATCATAACGCTTCATATCTGTATCCAGCGTACCAGTGAGTGAAATGGCAGATGCATTATTTATGAGAATATCAATACCACCGAATTTCGCCACAGCATCCTGAACAGCTGAGCGTACTTGCTTCTCGTCGCGTACATCTACAACACAAGGGTGTGCACGACCACCAACCTTTTCAATTTCTTCAGCCGCTGTATAAATTGTTCCTGGCAATTTAGGATGTGGTGTGCTTGTTTTAGCAGCGACAATGATGTTTGCACCATCGCGTGCCGCTTTTAGTGCAATAGCTTTGCCAATTCCGCGCGACGCACCTGCAAAAAGAAAGTTGACCCACTTAGTTAGTTTAATTTTCATGAAAACTTTAATACGCGCACTCACCAGTAATAAAAATTGTGCGTCCAGCTAGTTTCCCTGTATTAATCATTTTAAATTTTACCTATAATTTGCGATTAAAATAAGTGTTAATTTATACCGACCACTCCGTTACGCGTTTGTTTTATAAATGTCAAAAAATTTGATGGTTAAACAATGAAGTCAACAAAAGCAGAGTCCAAAGTACACAATTGGACCGCGGCGTCTGAAGTAGAAGCAGAAGCAGCATAATTAAATGATAGCAACAATTACAGAGGTAAAAGAAAAAACGTAAACATTAACAGATATAGAAGAGGGAGAATCATAAGACTTTGTACCAGAGGCAAACTGATATATTTTAGGAATTCATTGTGCGAACAAATGAAAAAGCYCTGCATACATACATATGTACATTTGTAAATGTGTAAAATGTAAACATAAAATAATGTATTTGCAAAGAGAAATACAGAGAAGTTATTTGATAATAGGTGCAATAAAAACGAAACATTCAAATAAWTAAAATATATTAGGGTTGCCCCAAGTCTAAAATATTAATATGATAATGATAAGAATTTTAAAATCGAAAGCATTGCAGTTTCAAGCTCAAATATAATGCTGCTCAATTTTTTATAAATAATTAAAATACATTTGTTATACACTTTTTTATTCAATTTGAACAAACTTCAAACAAGACGTTGTTAAATAAAAATAGCTACAATTTATCTATACTCATTTTTGACCTTAGTGCTTTCGTAAGTTTCTCCAATTTGAGAGCTTTACTCAAATCTCCCGATATTTTCATTTCACCCATAAGAAGGGCTGTTGATGGCTTCATTTTACCAGAAAATATTTCGACAAAATTCTCTGATGTTATTGCAAATGTTGCATCCGCTTCCTCTWCCGGTACGCCTTTTCCACAAGAACCGGCACCATTTTTTAGGTCAATGTACCAAACACCACCTTCATTACCYACTATATGAAATTGATAAATCGCTAATGTTTTTTGAACAAGTTCCTTTGAAAGTAGCGGTCCAATTTTTTCAAACAATCCTGAGATTTTTCTCTCTTCTTTTTGTGTATTTACTTTCGCTTTTCTTTCTTTCAATATAGACTTCCATGCCGGTATATCTCTATTAATAAAAGGTACAATTTTCTCTTTTGGTATATCCACGAAGGATTCATACATCAATTCATCTGCGACTGTAGAGTCGTTCGCATACTGATCGAGATCTTTTATACCAGCTTCAGTTAAAACTTCATCATCGACTAGAAAACGACCAGTAAACTCTTTTGGATCACGTATAAGCACTGCATAAGCAGCATCTGCCATAATATCCACTTTGCGTGTTCTCTTCAGAAATTCTGGTCCCATAAGAGCTTTGATTCTTTCTGTGCATATTGAAGTGCGTGGCCACAAGGCATTTACCGCCACTGACATAGCGTTTAGCTCATAGGCCATACCTAGTACACACATGGACATACCATACTTTGCTATGGTATACCCTAAATGAGCTGAGAGCCATTTAGGATCCAAGTTTAAAGGCGGGGCAATATTTAAAATATGTGAATATTCGCTTCGTATCAAATAGGGCAAACACTCCTGAGATACGATGAAAGCGCCACGTGTATTGGTTTGATACATAATATCAAAATGGTCTATTCTTGTGGCCGCTGTACTGGAGAAAGAAATGGCGGAGGCATTATTAACCACAATGTCAATTCCACCAAATCTCGAAACGGCATCATGAACAGCGGCACGCACTTGCTCTTCATCACGTATATCTACAGCACAAGGAAGTGCACGACCACCAGCTTTCTCCACCTCATGTGCAGCTGTGTAAATGGTTCCAGAAAGTTTAGGATTTTCTTCAGTAGTTCGAGCCGCTATCACTATATTTGCACCATCACGAGCCGCTTTTATTGCTATTGCCTTGCCAATGCCGCGTGACGCACCTTTACGAATCAAACGTTCAARGAATGAATTAAAAGTTATRTATAAAATATTATAGAAGTAAATTATACCTGTAATAAATAAAGTGCGTCCAGCTAGTTTGCCAGTGTTTATCATTTTGCAATGTGGACCAATAACCTTCTAGTAGAACACGTATTTTGGTTATATCTTTGATAGTTGGAGGGCAGTGATCGCATAATATTTGTTTATTTGCGTTTTTTTACTAAATATATACCGGTAACAGCTGATTTGTTCTGTTCGTTCGTTAATGAAAAGTGACAGTTTGTTTTTTGTSTCTAGCTTACCAGAAAGTTAGAAAAATAATTTTACTAATTGAGTTAAGTTTTTACTTTTAGAAATGACTCTACAAGACGGGTAATAGTTAACTAACTGGTCATCAATAGGTTATCAGTAATTAATGCTTTCTTTATTCGTTAGATTATTAATTTTTATTTATAATTATTCGAATTATCAGCAAATTGTTACACAAGTAAAAGAATATGAAAAATGTCAAAGACCATCCCTTTGAATTCTKTATTTACGAATATTTTTTAATGTACTAAAATAAGAAATTTTGCTGTATACAAATAAGGCAACACTTGAAAGGTCTAGTCAAATAAAATTTGACATTTCACCKTGAAAAGACTTTTTTTTACCTGCACGTTCATCTCACGAAAATTTTTCATATTAAAATAAATAAATTGTAATTAATTAAAATTGAACAGGTAAATTTTTTTAACAATATAAAACCTTTTAAATATAGCAGTTTAAGAAAAATTAGCCACGGATACAAAATCTAACGTGGTTTTCTAAAGTAATATCAAGTTTCTATTATCAATATTGTTTTAAAAAGTAATAAAAAAAATAATCTTATCACTTGAAATGTGAATTAAATGGAATCTAGTGCAATCACGAATGACGAAAGGTTTTGCATGACGCATATGGGGATTCTTTACTAAAATGAGCTGATCACATCGATTATTCACGTTTATATTACTTGATTTTTGGCATATTTTACTTAATAAAAATATTTCACAGGGTCAGCAATATGGTCGCAATTCCTTATTTATTTAACGAAATCGAGCGCATTTTTGAAAATGTGAGTWAAAATGTTTATATTGAAACCAAATTGAGCTAGTCGAACAAATTAATATTCGTATTTTGCTAATTCCAGACCCCGCTATATGTGATTGTGTTGGAAGCTTTTCTGCTGCTATCGGTAATATGGTTGCTACTTTTCAAGCGTAATGGGCGTGATAAACGGTACACAAAAATAGAGGAAGAAGAAATTATTTCCAAATATGAACCGGAACCACTCATCGCTGAAACCGATCCCAATCATCCACTGCTGCAAACACGTTTAGTCCAATCGAAAGTAGGCAAGCGAGTAGTAGTTGACGGACATGAGTGCTTAAATTTAGCAACGCACAACTATTTGGGTTTATTAGAAGATGACAAAATATTGGAGGATGCTTGCAATACATTGAAGAAATACGGCGTTGGTTCCTGTGGACCTCGTGGTTTCTACGGTACAATGGATGTACATTTGGATTTAGAAGACCGTTTGGCAAAATTTACAGGTATGGAGGAATCAGTGGTATACTCTTATGGATTCTCTACCATAGCAAGTGCTATACCAGCATATGCAAAACGAGGCGATGTCATATTTGCGTAAGTAAAAATTTAAAAGTGAAAACCAGAGTCAGTATAATTTTTTTTTACGAATTCTTAAGTGATGAGATGGTTAATTTTGCCATTCAAAAAGGTTTGGATGCTTCACGAAGCACTATTTATTACTACAAACACAATAATATGGCCGATTTGGAGCGTCTACTTATTGAGCAACAAGAACGAGATGCAAAGGTGTGTTTATAAAATAAGAATGTGCATGCATAAAAAAGTGTAATTACCAATAGTTCATTTTTATATAAATAGAATCCAAAGAAGGCAGCCAAGACACGTCGTTTTCTTTTAGCCGAGGGTATTTATATAAACACTGGCGAAATATGTCCTTTACCCGAACTTGTAGCGCTACGTGCTAAGTATAAATTGCGTTTGTTCCTGGATGAAAGCATTTCCTTTGGCACACTTGGTAAAACCGGTCATGGTCTCACCGAACACTTTAATGTCGATGTAAGAATATTTTTTAACGTAAACTGCATATCTTTTAAATGTTTACTAAACGTTTTTTTTTTAACAGCTGATTGAGGTTGATCTCATTATGGCAGGCATGGAGAATTCTCTAGCTACCATCGGCGGTTTCTGTGTCGGTTCACATTTCATCGTCGAACATCAACGTCTGTCTGGTTTGGGTTATTGCTTCTCTGCATCACTSCCACCACTATTGACACAAGCAGCCATCTCTGCACTTGACCGTTTCGAAACCGAACCGCAAATGTTTACACAACTGCAGGAAATTTCACGTAAAGTGCAAACGGTATTTGGTAAATTTTCAAAGTTGAAGATGCGCGCCAACGAACTTTCGCCCATCAAACATTTATATATAGCGGAGGAACGCGAAAATGCAGATGAGGAACGGGAATTGCTCATTCAAATAGCCAATAAGGTAGTTCATGTATGAAATTAACGTTTTCAATTGTTTATATATTGAAATATATTTCTAGTGCATTGCAAAGGGTGTTGCTGTTACTGAGGCGCGTTATTTGAACAATTTGGAGAAACATGCTATACGTCAAAGCATACGTATAACGGTGAATCGCTTACTCACTGACTCAGATATCAAGCATGCTTTCGATGTTATCGAAAATGTATCCAACGGAGTGTTGTAAATCACACGGCATTCATTATGTCTATTTAAAAATTAGTGGATGGTATTTCAAAACCATAAAACATGCCTTATAGTTTTATGTTAACTGCTGCTATGCCATAGTAAAAGTGAGGTTAATTTTCAAAATGAACAAATATTTAATGCACTAAGCCACACTTTATTAAGTAGGGATAGTATTCTATTAAATACTTGTTGTAGCTGAATATAGGCATGTGCATGCACACAATTTCCGAGCGCTATTTGTTTAAATTTCAATAAAAATATAAATTTAATTATATTGATTAAATAATAATATTTTTGCATACATATCACACTCTTGCTAGTTTACTATTATATTGTATAAGGKTATACATCCACATTCCATGCTAAGGCTTGTAATTTCACTTTCTTTGAATGTTCGTACGAAAAAATCGTATATTAAAACCAAAGCTAAAACGAAAATGTATTAAACTTTAAAATAATAAAGCTTATAATTTAAAATAATATATTTTTTATATATGCAGAGTTTTCTATTAAATTACAACGCGTTCAAAACTTAATAATAAAGTGACTGATGTTTAAAGCATATAATGTTTTTCGAGTTTAACCCTTAAGCACATATAAAAACTCAATAAATATAAAATTTCTTTAAAAAAATATAGTATATGACAGATATTTTTTATTTTCTTTTAGAAAAACTTCATTTCATAAGCTCTATTTTTAATAGAAAAATTTTGTTCACTTTCACTTATTGTATATTTTTTTCTAAAACAAATGGTAAATTTTTACAACTACTAATATGAGTATAGCCCTCCAACTTTAGACAGCCTTTTTACCGTTGTCGTCTAGTCACTTACGTGGGCATATACCACAGCTGTGCGTGAGGGTGTGTAAACCTGAAATGCAAGACATTAGAAATATGGGTGAGTTTACTTAATTGTTTCCATTAATATAAATTTTTAGATATTAGTTTTAATCATTCTTTCTGTTGTATGTATAATTTATTTATTTAAATTTTTTTTATTTTATCATGCTGTCTTCTCTTATTTAAATTATAGTATATCAATTACTATTTTAGATTTAAAAAAATTTATATTATTTCCTGTTTAATAGTGTTTTCTATTTTATTATACTATACTATCGCCTTGTCACTTTCYAGCACTGCAAATATTCCTACATTATGTGCTAACTACCGTTCACTTACCTCAAAGAAGTTCTGGCGTCCTGCATAGCCTTCGGCTCGTGTTAAATGCTTGCAATTCTTATCAATACGATTTTGGCCGCCAAAGAGTTCATCATCCGAACTCAACACCGCCTGATAAGTGCCTGCCCAATTGGTGCCAACACGATAACCAGTAAAACTTTGTGTGGGGTGGAAATTGAAAACAAAGACTAAGCCGGCGCGTTCAAAAGCAATTATTTTATCGCCTTCATGCTTCCAGCTGACATATGCGGGATCTGAATGTAGCCAGCCGTAGCGCTCTTCCAGCTCATTCATTGCACGATCAAATTCATTCAAAAATTTGTACTTCAATAATGCATCATCAACCAAATTCCACTGACGACGCGCATAATGATAGGAATCGTTATTGCCCACACGTGGGAAATCCAACCATTCGGGATGGCCGAACTCGTTGCCCATAAAATTGAGGTATGCCTCACCTCCAAGTGCATGTGTGATCAAACGTATCATTTTGTGCAGCGAAAGGCCGCGATCGATAATCAACGACGGCTCGGAGATTGTAGACATGTGTGTGTACATTTCTTTATCCATTAACCAAAAGGCAATCGTTTTATCACCGACCAAAGCTTGGTCATGAGATTCAGCATAGGCAACAGTTTTCTCCTTCCAKCGACGATTTGTCAATGTGTGCACGATGTTACCAATATTCCAGGCGTCGTCTGTAAACTCTTTCAGCAATTCAATCCATTTGTCTGGTATGGCCATGGCAAGACGGTAATCGAAACCAATACCGCCCTCGTCGACTGGACGGCAGAGTGTGGGCATTCCTGATACATCCTGCGAAGTTTCGGATGAAAAAATATGTTATCAAATTCAAAATATGTGTAATCATATATGTATGTAAAAAGCTTTACCTCTGCGATAGTGACGACCTCTGGATTTTGTGTATGCAACATGTAATTGGCTAAACCGAGATAGTTTAATGCGTCCGTATCAACATTTAGACCAAAATATTCGTTGTAATCACCGCTGAAACCTTCACCAATACCGCGTGAATGATACAACATGGAAGTGACGCCATCAAACCTGGAGAGGCAGGTCAAAAATGTTAAAAATTCGCGAAAACATATATTTTAACGACTCTCTCACTTACCTATAGCCATCGAAGTAGTACTCATCGTGCCACCAACGCAAATTGGAAAGCAAAAAGCGTAACACCTCATATTCTACATAATTGAAGAGTCGACTATCCCACAGTGAATGTTCTCCACGCGCACCATCATGGAAATAACATGAATTGGTGCCATCAAATTGATTCAAACCATCCTGCACATTCTTACTCGCATGCGAATGCACCACATCCAATAACACATAYAAGCCATGTTCATGCGCTACATCGATCATGCGTTTCAACTCTTCGGGCGTGCCATAACGACTGGAAGCGGCAAAGAAACTGGTCACCTGGTAGCCAAAACTGGCATAGTAAGCGTGCTCCATAATGGCCATAACCTGTATGGCATTGTAACCTTGACGCTTGATGCGCGGTATTATATTATCGGCGAAGTTCTGATATGAACCAACACGTGGCTCCTGCGAGGCAATACCCACATGGCATTCATATATGCGCAACGATTTGGGACGCTTCGGACGTGGGTGCTTGCAGAGGTAGCGTTCAGTTGGCGGTGGATTCCACACATACTGCTTATAGTTGACACCCTGATTGGCCTCCTTGGGTGGTTGACGCACATATGTGGCCCACGGTGAGAGTCGATCCAAGAGATGACCGGCCTGATTGCGTATTATCACTTTCACCTCGCTGAGATGTTTGATGGGCACGCTGCCATCGGCATTGGCGGGCAAATGTAATTCCCATTTCCCGTAATCGAGCTTCTTAAAAGGGGTCGCCTCCCATTGCCAGTTATCTGTGTGAAGTTGTACGTAAAATATAAACGTGATAAAAATTACTTATGCATGGAGAGATTCAACATTGACTACTTACTGAAATCACCGGTGAGATAAACTTGCTGTGCACCAGGCGCCCATTCGCGTGCAATYACAGAGTTGTCGGGTTGGAAGTGTAATCCGTAATATTTGTAACCCTGTGAGAATGTATCCATGCCGCCTTCGAGCTGGTCGATTTTGCCGATCCACTCTTTAAGCACGCCATGTCTATGAAGTGAGAAAATTTGAA